AGGCGCGCATAGGATGCAAGAACACAACGGAGAAGATTTTGAGGTAGGAGTCACTATCCTTACGCAGGAATCGAAAACATCAGCGCGAAAAACTCTTGAAGCGTTTTGGATCAATGCCAAAAATTCAAAAATGAACCGCAAGGAGGAGTGTCTTGTCATCACGCGTGACCTAGCGCCATACCTCAGGCTGATCCAATGATCTGACACGGACCCAGTTATCGACCATGTATTACTCTGTGCGGCGGCTATCCACCAACTAACTTAAATACTTACAACAAATAAACGGTAGGTGTTTGAATGAAGCTGTTTCTTATGCGAATACAAATCGATTTATCAAGTTTTATCTGCTAGGGTTATGAAAGTGTTTGGCTGAGTAGATCGCATCTCAATTTGACCTTTCCAGGCTCTGAAGAAGGCGAAACCGCCGAAACGTCAGCAANTGGTAGAGACGGTGATTGCATGAGTTCGGGTACAGTCTATCTGATCTCTTGTAAAGCGTGCGGGCACGAATATGTTGGTGAAACGGGTAGACCGCTCTGCGTCCGCATAAAAGAACACCTAGTCGGTAAATCTAAACTAAAACACAATACCCCACTAGGCGCGCATAGGATGCAAGAACACAACGGAGAAGATTTTGAGGTAGGAGTCACTATCCTTACGCAGGAATCGAAAACATCAGCGCGAAAAACTCTTGAAGCGTTTTGGATCAATGCCAAAAATTCAAAAATGAACCGCAAGGAGGAGTGTCTTGTCATCACGCGTGACCTAGCGCCATACCTCAGGCTGATCCAATGATCTGACACGGACCCAGTTATCGACCATGTATTACTCTGTGCGGCGGCTATCCACCAACTAACTTAAATACTTACAACAAATAAACGGTAGGTGTTTGAATGAAGCTGTTTCTTATGCGAATACAAATCGATTTATCAAGTTTTATCTGCTAGGGTTATGAAAGTGTTTGGCTGAGTAGATCGCATCTCAATTTGACCTTTCCAGGCTCTGAAGAAGGCGAAACCGCCGAAACGTCAGCAATTGTGTTCTAATAAATTCTATATTAACAACCTCGTGTCTGCTTATTGATGAAAAACATTGAATTATCAATTAATGCCGAGGTTAACAGAAAGTCGGTCATGGGGATGCTAGGAGTATCCCGTTCCCCAGAAGGAATGGGATCCGAAGCTCCGATCTGCGTCAACGATGAAAAATCGAAGATGCCGTTCTGTATGTCAAACAGTCAAAGATTAGGTGGGCCGAACACGTAATGTGTATGAATGACAACCGATGAACAAGAGCCGTTAGCGACTGGATTCCTCGGGATATCAAAAGTACTGCAGGAATTCCACCGACCCGATGGTCGGAGTTCTTCACAAAGAGCCTTGAAGAAACAAATGATGCTCGACGAGTCTCTAGAGCGAGCAGAACCCACTGGGCTACTCTTGCACGCGACAGGCAAAAATGTAAGATTTACAGGAGCCCACTCGAGTGACTCGACGATCAACGGGACTACAGGTGATATACATATTAGTGCATACATTAGATCTTGAGGCATTTAGCGCAGTGGTCGGAGGCACCCTGAAACACCTACGTGGAATCAATCCCCGAGCCCAAGACCCACCAAGCCTTCCACCACTACGGGGTCAGCAAATTGGTACAACACTTGCCTTGGAAAAAAGCAGCACTGACTCGATAAATCGGTAAGCCACCGCGAGTTATTGTAAAGGCCAGATATGCATTCAGTCATCTCCAAACGGTGCTTAATAAAAGTCGAATCTCTTAGGGATTGATCAACGCCGAGAGCTTCATTCTTTATCCTTTACATTAAATCCTAAGATGCCCATTGTTTGACCGCTTGGCATGCGCTATCCACAGAGGATTGTTACTTTTAAAGCACTTTGTTACTTTAGATTTGGTGCAGCAGTCAAAACCCATTATTGTAATTTGACGAGGAACGAAGAAACAGTGAATCACTAGCATTCGAACACCTAAAAAAGGCCGTAAGTCATGGGGCAAAAAATCGTAATCTGAGAATCCCAAATGGTGGGTAAGCCATCCAATTTCTAGTTGTTTTCGTTTCATTTCGGAGACTGCCGGTTTTGTTCCTGTACGTTAATTTATTGTGCGTCCTTCTCATGTTTAATCGCCGTATTCCACTTACTACAACATAGTACGCCGTCTGCAATTGTTCGAAAGTATAAATTTTAGTGGCGTCATGTATGAAGATGAAGACTATCAAACACTGTTCGATTGCTTTCTTACCAACAGTCACAATGAGGAGATTGGTGACCATGCAGAAGACAACATGGGCAGCAATTTACTCGTCGCAGATGACAGCCCTGAAGACAGCGATTCGGAGGATGACGAACAACATTATTTCGATGAGAGAAAGATAACGAGGAAGTGGTCAAACTTAATAGACATTAGACTTGAGGACTGTACACTATAGGTAGGGCTTTCATAAAGTATATTGTTATAATGAGAACTAATAAATGAGATTTGATTATTGTAAGACGTACCAAGTGTTGATTACATGTCAGAAGTGCAAATTAAATGTAAGAAAGGTGACCTGACGACCCGTGCTGATTGTTTAGGGTTAATTATTGATAGGTGCTGGTTGTATAAGTTGACGATTGTTAAGTAAATATTTTTGGTGAAAGTTCTACGACATCAGTACGATGTTTTAAAAATACGGATTAGTAGTGCGTATTCTATCCTGAGAAATACTCTATACATTGATAAATAAGCACAATATCTAAGCTTATTCTTCCTAAAGACTACAAATGCCTTCGCAATAACTTCCTCTAGAAATCGCACGTTGTAAAATTCAGTGAAAAAACAGTAGGTCGAGAATGTGTCCTCTCCGAAGGACATAGTTATCCCATTCAAAAATGCGCAATTCGAGAACGTATGGCATTAGGCATACTAAAAACACGTTTATAGAAGTTTTCATGGTGATATTCCATCCACCGGTGACGATAAAGCGTTCTAACCACTAAAGTTTATTGTGTAAAGTATTAACAGATCCAGAGTGGAATTCGAGCAGACGGGCTAACTCGTCCGAAAATATAACGTAGTATACTTTTCGCTAGTACAGCGCTATAAAAATAGCTATCCATGGACCACTCCCGGCATAAAATTTGTGTTCGAGAAACCATCGGCTGACTACAAAAGTCCTTAAAAAAGCACTATGCGGCAAAAACAGGCCAAAAAATCCGCGCGCATTCAAATCAAGATGTATGGCCCGCAATGTGCGATAGGATACACATTTAAGTCAACAAGGGTTAACTTTGTTATCGCTGTTATACCTCAACAAGCGAACAAAGATTTTTCTAAAAAGTTTATTAATTCAGAACAAAAGAAAATAGCTATATATATATATATATATTTCTAACTATCAGAAAAAACAGTGGAAACGAAAAAAGCCTTCAAAAAGTAAACCAAAACAAAAAAGAAGTAATCAAAAGGTAAACGAAAACGCCGTCATACTATTATACCCTCAAGGATCTCCGCACCCTCATTTTAATCCATCGCCACCAAAGAACTGCACCAGTTTTATAGGGATTGTATCGACCTCTAAGTGGCATCTTCGACCTGAATAAGTTGTTGCTGTCATTGTTATTATTATAATTATAGCTGCAGTTACGATTATTAATAATGTTGCAACAGACGGCTCTAACGGTTCAATACGTTTCGCTCACACAGTGAAAGCTTTGGATTTCCATTTTAATTTGACAGATAAATATTGGATCTTCATTGCCTTGTTATATGCTCGAGTGTCAATGTCATTTACGAAATCGAACTGAAGAAGTCAGGAACATAAAAATTTCCAACATTTGACTTGACTTCGGAAAAATTTGCCTTGGTTTTAACACTATCGATGCTCTAGACGAAACAAACCGATGATGAAGAGTCGCGTGATGAAGTCTGATTAGCAGTTGACTTCGAAACTCCACGTTCGTTAGAAATTTCCACTTTATCTCCATTTGTCGATGAATCCTGGACTCCTGGTAGTTGGCGTCTCACATAAGCAGCTGGAAAGAGGATCTTACGTTTCCATTGCAACTGGTGTTTCGGGAATCCAGAGTTTCTCGTTCTAAACCGGATTTCACCACATTCACTACAACAGTGATCTTGTAAGTGATTGAATTCGTTCTTTTCACAGCAGTTTTGTCTTATTTTCTTCTATAACACTCTTTGTGAATATCGTGAAAAAGTGCACAAGCGAACCGCGATATAAACAATATGTTGAAACAATGTTGGTTTGATTGGACTAGCATCGGTGCAATTTCAGGATAAGATAGAAAGGAAAGAAGGTAAACGTGGGTAGTGATAGAACACTGACATCTGAGCACTATGACGTGTATCCTTAGTATAGCACAACGTCGTTCCAACGGTTTACTGCCTCTTCGTGGCTGGGTGTTTCTGGATGTCGGGCTGCCATGTAAAGCGCGGATTCGCCCGCCCAGCAGGTTCTCCCATGCTGAGAGGAATCCAACGTTTTCATCATGAAGTCTAGCTAACAATAAGCCAATATCAGGATCCACTACCGTCCTGGTATGAAACTAATCGCATAGTGGCAAATCTCCCTCTCATCCATAAGGGCGGTGACTGCATGTGGTGGCTGTGTATTGGTGACGATCTGGTGCAGACTTTGGCTAAACTGACCTGGGAACTCTAGGGAACCAAAGTGGCTAGACCAGCAAATCATCAGAGAGTGAAAATTACGCTGTGGCTCGTAGAGCCAGTGAAGACGGCCATCCAAGTATCCAAGTAAGTAAGTACTATAATCTGATACACCACCGACGAAATGATTCATTTACGTCATTAGGCCATTTAATTTTCCAGTTTCAAAAGGAACGAAAGATCCCCACTTAAATGATTTCATAGTGATGTAGGGGCAATGAATTTCATCAAGCATCAAACGGCAGACTTATTAAGTATACTAATATGAAGTGATGTAAATCTTATTATCCTGTTATAAAACATTTTGTGAGCGACAATTACTTCTTGATGATATCCAGGTCTTGAGTGTTAAACCCTACACAAGAACCACCTTAACTTATACACAAATACATAAACATAGGAGAATCTTGGCTTGTTAAAATACCTCCATCGATTAGCGGCAATGTTCCAGTTTTATTTTTGTAAGCAGTATCCATTTGGCCATTGAAAACGCTAACTTCAGCTTCAATGTAGTAAAGTCCTCTCTGGAAATTGATTGGCTGGTGAAATTTGTAAGAAAATTGAAATTAAAAAAAACTGGTTAATATTGATATTCACTAAATAAAAAAGAACCAGACCTGAACGATGCTAACTAGTGCACCAGAAGGCACTTCAACACCCATCAAATCTGATCGGTTCAACTCTGATTCGTTGCCAAACACAAAGGCCGAATGCTCCAACCCTTGAAAACCATGATTACCATGTTCTTCTTTTCACCAAGAAATTCCATCGATACCTTTCCCACGTGATTTGGGATACGACATAGCTTTGATCTAAACACAAATACCCCCGAATGTACGAAGCATGGAAACTCATCTTCCAATAAGAATGGCTACCTTAGCTTGAATTAGCTACCCATTTCGTAGGAACACGATACAGCGAATAATGACATGTACAGTATTAGTGGATACAAAATGGTCTCACTGCTGAAGAATTCAAAAAAGAATGTTGTTCGCAAAGCTACTCGCCATCACAAGAGTTATACAATCAGACGCATTTCCAAGCACGTACACTTTGCATAAAATGGGTCCTGATATTAAAAAGTGGTAATTTAGTTTGCACTTGCGACAACACCAAAATATGTAGAATGCCACTTTACACCTCATTCATTACATGTGCACGCATATACGTCAAAATTACGGACGATCATCGCTCCTTGAGAAAGTCTTTAACCAGAAAAGCACAATGGATAATTGTAAGATGTCTTTCATATCATCGAACTTAGATCTAAGGTGCAAATCTTACTGAAATTTTTGAAGATAGGAAACTGCAACCGCCTTTGAATTAATGGGTCGTGGTTTAACCATGCGAAAACGAAATTCTTCGAGTAAACCGTAATGGTTAAAGAGTTATCCCTTCACTGACCGTCTCCAAAGATCATGCGGAGGAATAGAGTTATCAAGCAAAATTGCTCTTAAGACGTTAGAAAAGATAGGATTTACGCTCTATCTGATCAAATCAATTTTATGCCTAATTTCGTTATTGACGGCACATGAATTTTACGTGGCACCTATAGTCCCAAACACTGCCGCTTTTCTCCAATAAGAAAAACTGATTCCTTTCCATGAAGACAAAAAATTAAACAGTGCCAAATAGAGAAACCAGGGAGATGAAACTTGCCCATTCTGGACAACGCAGTGAAAACCCCAAATGCTAACGAAAGCAGAAAAACAAACTAACAGGGATAATCAAAAACTGCAAACGAGCTAAAACAGAAGTAGACTGTACTTTCTAGATACCTGATTCTTGTAGATATTTCAAGATAAGGTAGTTGAGCTCGCTACTTGAAAACGTCATGGAATTCCTGCAAAGTCGAATAATGGTCTGGAACAAGGAAATTCTTTAACCGAATAAAGCCCAAAAACTCGGAAGTAATTTCGCGATAGAAAATAAACACTAGTGTCAGAAATAAAAGAATTTGATACACCGAGGTTGGCTACAGACGCTGCTAGCATTTCATTACAAAAGTTATCTTTCTTGAACGAGTTAGGATAAAGGACAATGCTTTTGGCGTTGGTCAATCCCGGAGGTATGCGCCACTCATTTGACTTCGTTAAGCATCGTTCGAGGTCACTGGATGCATATCTGGTCCTTACAATGACTCGCGGTGGCCCACCGATGTATCGAACCAGTGTTGCTATCCTCGCTGCCAAGTCTGGTACCAATTTGCCGACCCAGAAGGGATAGAAGGCGTTGCGAGCCTGGGGCATTACAGGGCGCCTCCGACCACTGCGCTACACGGGCTTTCTTGAACTGCAGTTTTTCTTGACGAGAAGCTAAATTGTAAGCACATGCAGACGGTGAAAATAGATGTTAAACAGATACAAAATCCTACTGTAGGCCTACGCCTTCGGTTAGAGAATACGAGAAATGCTCCGATGTAGTCGACAGTGCACGGCACTGTTGATTCCGAATTACATTCCTGTGTTTCAGTAGTTGGCAGACTGAAAAAAGCAAACGATCCAGTCCTAGGTTCCTTCGAAACATCGTTATACAAAACCCAACGAAAGGATTTATCTTCTAAATTTTAAGGCGGCTTCACCAATGTCGACAATCCATTCCGGGTTAAATGGAGATATTCATGATATAAAACTACTTCTTAGCGGCGAGTAATTCATTTAGCTACGATTCAAACGACTACCGTCGACTGCAGAACTGAATTTCCGACTTCGCAGGTAGTATCACTCCGACTCTTACCATCTCGAAACACTTCGAGCCTCCTAGCTTTACCATCTTGAAGCTACATTTGGAACCAGTACTTAACATAAAGTAGGAGCTCCCATGGCTAACCTTGTTTTTTTTTGTTAAATTGAATTCTGTCTTTGCTCAAACTGCATGGTAGCAACGTAATCTCAATTTCCTTTGTTTGTAAACCCGAACTACTGTGCCAATTTTGAGTACCAGATTACAAATAATAATAAACGACTTCATAACGCTTTTATCTTCATGTTATACTTCGAATGTGGTGGTTTAGGTCGAATCTCATGACTAGATCCATCAAAGAGGACAAAGGAAGAAGTCCGACCAGAGCACAGGTTACTTACAACATCAAACGAAGAACGGTTTTCAACTAAGAAGTTTACACGGCATTCGGAAGAAAGCTATTCTTGTCCAATCACAACTTAAATGGTATAAATAATGCACGGAAACACTCCATAGAACTACGAACACTTGCAGTGACCGGTCTTTGCTGGAATTTTACGGTAAAATTTGGGAAAACGTTAGGTGGATTGAGAACTGAGGCAGAGAAATAGGGTATAAACCATGAAAACGACGAACTACAGCGAAAATTCAGGGATAACATAACCCGCAATGGAGTCCGGACGATTGCGCAATCGACAGCGGCGCTAAGGCTTTCATTGCAGCGATCCTCTTGATCTTCCAGATTTCACGAGTTATGGTCCTACAACGATCATTGATATACGTTAATCGTTTTGCAGTTAATATCGTCTCTTCAGGAATAGCTATTTTTTCATGCGTCGTGACCAAAAATACAATTGAAATGGAAACGTGTTATGAGACATGCGGTAATGGGCAGTGTCGTTCACTTAGTTGAACAGTGAGGGTTTATGATCACCAGCACATTCCCCTGACAGGCAGGAATTGTCAGATGTTTCAGTGTTACTGTTGCTGTGTCAGATCGGTTGCTGTCAAGGAGTTTTGTGCTACATGGGTTCCAATAACTGTCCAGACGGAGGAGAGCTTGCGATTCATTAGCGCCATGCAGGCTCCGTGGGAACGGGTTTAATGCAGACATCAGTTTCTGTTTCACATTATTATTGGGTTATAATAATCACAGGCATTTTCTTGTTAACCGCATGAAATATCGGTAGGAATGGAAGGAAAGGAAAGGGTTAACACTTAACCTTCGTACGAACTCATTGCTCTATGAAACTTGCTTTCTAAACCGTATCCGCATTTCAATTTAAAAAAACTTCATTACAAAGATGGTTTTTTGCTCATTTTCATACTCTATGGGTAGGTGATTAGTTCTGACCGACGCACTTTATTACCGCATCGATCACATGTGTGGGAGACGTGCAGCGCAGTCGTTAGAGATGCGCTGCAATACACACTTGGTCCTTGGTTCCATCCGACGCCCAGAGCCCACCATGTCAGTCGGGGTCGAAAAATTAGTCCCAGACCTACGTGGAAGGATAAGAACACGAACTTGATAAATAGGGAGACCCGTCAGTTGTTGCATAGGTGAAATACGCACTCACTCACATATGTGATGGATTGGAACACGCGTTCCTGATGGGTTGATGCCGAGCGCTTTATATTTATTTGTTTTACCCAATCAGTTTATGATAGAAAATGGTTTTACCGGCCAAGTTGCCACCATCCAAAAAAAGCCTACTCGCTGGACTCCAAGTCTTCAATCTTCAATGGAGAGCAGTTGACGACGATGACGATATCGCAAGGACCTGACTGCCTCAAATATTACATCGCGTGGTTACTTGATAGCATAACCAGGGGAGCTCCAGTGGCAAAACCAGAGTTAACTAGGTCATCTGAGCCTCTGCCACGGTGACCCACAATAGTATAACCAGTAATGACTGATACTTGCAGAAGTATTTACAAAATTACTGGTGGTTAGCACTACCTTTCCTTCTCTTATTTTTGCTACGAATTAGTCGGTGTCGAGGAACTTCTACGAGTGTTCTTTGCATGCAGTACATCCAACTTGCTGTTCTAGGTGGACTTCGTTCATTTCTTCGTTTGCTCGTTCGTTCTCCAACAATGTTGAAGTTCAGTACCTCATTATGGTTCAGTTTGCCTGTTGTTATGAATTTTGTACATATTTCGGCGAATACCAGTTTCAAGAAAAGATCAACATTTTGGTAGTTTTTTTTTCATAATAGGGGACAATGAAGTTCATTAGAGGGCAATGTAATAAATTGGCAAGACTGCATATTGAATACTCCTCCACATTTAGTGCATTACCGTAGTCGAAGCAGAAGAACGGAGAGAATATTTATTGCTTAGATGGAGCCATTCGTTTTCCATCGGTTTTAAAATATTCTTGCACTCATATGATTGTTTCAAAATGACAATTTGAGTTGCCGATTTTGAAAACTCTGGAAATAGAACTATAAATTTTATCTTAACTCTTTTATTTACTGCCTTTTTCTTCTAAATGGCAGGGTATGTTGTGAAATATAACTCGTATGAAATGCTGAGATACCTGCAAAACTCCGGACCACAGGTGTATGCAGTGGGGAACGAACACGAGCTGTGGTGTACGACCCGATGGTGTAGTGGTGAAGTGCGCTGCTCCCCGGTAAGGACAACAGCGCGTGTTCGTTCCCCACTGCATACACCTGTGGTCCGGAGTTTTGCAGGTATCTCAGCATTTCATACGAGTTATAAATTTTATTTTTCANTACACCATCGGGTCGTACACCACAGCTCGTGTTCGTTCCCCACTGCATACACCTGTGGTCCGGAGTTTTGCAGGTATCTCAGCATTTCATACGAGTTATAAATTTTATTTTTCAAATAGTTCAACTTGCTGCGTCAATCACTTTACTATTCGGCGAGCACTCGGACTCAGATCTCTTATCGTATCGTAAGTGGCGTTGTTGTTGTTTGCTCAAAGGAGTCGATGTTCATGGCCAAACTCGTGATGGCGTCAGCGGCACAAACTTCGCTATTGTCGTGTGATCTAAGAAAGAGTTTTTACCCGATATTATAGACTTAGCTCAAAGGTGTTATCCTGACCTCGAAAGAGTCTCTAGTATGGCAGCTTTGAGTGGGACGAGTATGGAAAGCTACTAATATCTCGGGGCATTCTAGCTTGTCTAAAACTGGAAGGACGAAGATGATGGTCTCTACGCATCACTTCCACCTTTACTTACATCTGAGTCCTCTACTGTGGAACTGGTGATGCATATTAGAAGGATAAGAGTTCGCGTGTTTGTTTCCACTACTGCCTTCAATTCGTCGTCGTCAAGTTCACTGGGACGTCCGCGGCGTTCCTTATCTTCGAGGTTAAAATCACCAGATTTGAACTTCTGGAACCATGTTCGCATTGTTGACTCACCAACACTACCTTCACCACAAACTTCATTGTTTCGAGCCGTCTATACTGCACAACGACGAGGTTTGAAACCATAGAAGGAAATTTGACGGAAATTCGTTTTTGGCATCTAAAATTGCATAGCTCAAAATTGGTAAAAACAATTAATTTTTGGCGAATTATAAAGACAGTACCCTGCTGTAAAAATTGTAATAGACAGAAAATAAAAAGTAAAAACATTGTGATTTCAACTACTGCCTCAGCTTAACTGGGCTCAATGCCGATTTGGGCTCCCCAGATCAATCCCGTTGACGAGTGATTGCTAATGGCACGAGGCGATAGAACTAGATGAGAGACAGGCGAAACGAAGGGCCCGCTTGTTATGGTGGTGAAGGCGCTAGCCCCGGAAAGGCTCATTGCGCTTTTGTTCTCCACCGTAGACACCTGCGGTCCGAAGTTTTGCAAATATCTCAGCAACGTTGTGGCTGTATTTCGCTTAATACGCTGTCGTAGAAATTGTAGTAGGCAGGAAATAAAACGTAAAAACATTATAAAGACATTGTTAGAAAAAGCATGAAATCACCTTTTTAATGATTGTAATGTTGAAAGGTACAAGGAATATTTTGTAACAGTTCCCAGGATCGACTTTCTGTTAACCTCGGCATTGGAATATGAATGTGTCGATTTCTTGTTCAACAATCGCGAGGTTTTTAAACAGCATACATTTACTTCCATAGAAAAACAGTACAATACAACGCTAGCTGACGTTTCGGCAGTATCGCCTTCTTCAGAGTCTGGAAGGGCATGCTGATATACAATCTACTAGGCCAAACGCTTCAATAACACCCGGAAAAAGACGAAGAACTCTGTGGTAATTGCATGATCGACAGCTGGGGTGGTGCAGTTATCAACCCTATGCGACTATCAGCTGTTCTAACTTTCCTCATTGGAAGTCACGAAAAAAGCGGTGAACTTTCGAGAAGCTGTTCATCAAACAACTGCGATTTTTCCGTCTTTTTGTATCCGTTATTGAAGCATTTGGCCTAGTAAATTGTACACGAGTACACCCTCTCAGGTTCTAAAGAATATCTTATTGGTAACAAATACATCAAAACAATAGATCTTTTAAAATGCTTATTTGTTTCTTAACAGCCTAATAGTTGAGGCAGTCCGGTCCTGGCGATGTCGCCACTGTCGTCGACCGCTCTCCATTGCAGATTGAAGTCTTGCCGTCCAGCGAGTAGGCTTTTTTGGATGGTGGCAACTTGGCCGGTAAAACCATTTTCTATCATAAGCTGATTGGGTAAAACAAATAAATATAAAGCGTTCGGCATCAACCCTTCAGGAATGCGTGTTCCAATCTATCACATAGGTGAGTGAGTGCGTATTTCTTCCATGCAACGACTGACGGGTCTCCCCATCTATCAAGTTCGTGTTCTTATCCTTCCACGTAGGTCTGGGACCAGTTTTTCGACCCCGACTGACATGGTGGGCTGCGGGCATAGGATCGAACCAAGGACCAAGTGTGTATTGTAACACATCTCTAACCATGCGATAGTAAAACGTGTAGGAATTAATCAACTACTCATAGAGTATGAGAATGAGCAAAAGATCGTCTTTATACTTGGGTTTTTACCTTAAAATGCGGATATGGTTTAGAAAATCGGCTTCGCAGAGAAATGAGTTCATACGAGGGATAATTGTTTACTCTACCATTTCCTTTTATTCCGGTTGATATTTCATATGGGTAATAAGAAATTTGCTAACATAGTAATGATGTGGAACAAACATTGGTGCTTGCATTACGCGGTCACCACGTGAACGAACCATACCTCAGTAGTAAGTTAGCAACGAAAATGTGGACCTTCCAGAACACCAGGTTGAAACTCCCAATTTAAGCGAACCGCTCCCATATTTCAGGTTTTGTAAGCTTAGTGAAACACTCGTTCGCACGGGGCTTTCTTGGCACTATCGAATCGCACGCCGCCACCCGTTTGGACAGTTACTGGAACCCATGTAGTACAGAACTTCTTCATAACAGCAACAGATCTGAAACAGTAACAGTAACACTGAAACATCTGATAGCTCTTACCTGTCAGGGAAAAGTAATGGTGATTATAAATCCTCATTGTTCAACTAAATCAACGATATATTTACTTATATAAACTGATCTTCTTGAGCTGATGCGAGGTTAGTGCAAGTTTCCATTGTCGTTGTTGTTCGTGTTGTTGTTCGATGGCTGACGTTTCGGCGATTTCGCCTTCTTCAGAGCCGCGCTGTTACCAGTGGGACACCCAGCGAACATCAACTTAAGAAGATCAGTTTACAAGATCATAGAAATAAACATATCAACTATTTATGCCTAGGTTTATAGAAAATCGGTCTTTTGAATTAAATAAACGACACTGCCCATTCCCATGTGTATCATATAATTCTCCACCTTCAATTTTGTATTTCTGCTCGCGACATATTAAAAAGTAGTTACTCCTGAAGAGACAATGATAACTAGAATGCACAGCCCACCCAACTCGAAATGGCATTAACGTTTTCGATGATCGTTGCAGGACCATTTCTTGCGAAATACGGAAGATCAAGTGGATCGCTGTAACGAAGGCCTTAGCGCCGCTCCCTATTGAGCAATCGCCTGGGCTCCACTGTCGGTGGTGTTGCCCTTGAATTTCTGTCACATTTCGTCGCTTTCATGGTTTATACCGTATTTCCCTAACTCAGTTCCTAATCCACCTAACGACTCTTCCGAGTTTAACCGCAAAATTCCACCAATAACTTCGGTCATTACAAGTGTTGTAGCTCTATGGGATCAATTTCCATGCATTATTTGTAGTACATAAGCAGCTTGTAGTTGAGCATGAACGTTAGTCTTTCGAATATCGTAGAAACTTCTCAGTCCAGGATTGTTGTTCATTTGATGTTTTCGATTTCACTTGCCTCTATTGTTATTCTCAACCAAGTAACCTGTGCTCTGGTTAAACTTCAGTCTTTTTCCCTTGCCCATTCTGATGGATCTAATCGTACGAGTCGACACTAATGGACTATATGTGAAGTATAATGTGAGGATAAGGATGTTATTAAGTTGTTTATTAGGATTTGTAATCGTAGAGGCAAACGGGCGCAGTGGTTCGCGTTTACAAACAAGTCGAAACTACGTTGCTGCTATACACTTTGAGAATAGGTGGAAGTTAATTTCATGAAACAAACAGAGTTTAGCTACAGGAACTCCTGCTTTGTATTAAGTACTGATTCAAAGTCTTCCTTCGAGATCATAGAGGTAGGAGGTTCAAAGTGTTTCGAGATGGTAAGGGTAGGAACGTACTACCACCGAGGTCGGCAGTTCAGTTCTGCAGTTGTCGGTAGTTGTTTGACGTTTGAACGGGCATTTGCCACCTTCAGTCATGAATATCTTCGTTTAATCCCAGATGGATTGTCGAAGTTGGTAAAGCCGCTTTAAAATTTGAAAGATGTTTTCGTTGGTCTGTTATGTAACTCATTTTCTAAGGATACTAGGACTGGACCATTTGCTTTCTTTCAGGCTTCCAACGACTGAAACACTTGAGGAACTCAATTCAGAATCAACGACGCCGTCCACTATCGACTACGTAGTATTTCTCACATTCTCTGACCGAAGACGTAGGCCTACAGCGCTGCCTTCATTAACCTTATGATTGTTTCTGTGTATTTCTGCAAAGGATATAATTCTTCATCTGTCTAATATGTGTTTTCACCATTTGCAAGTTGTTGCTATTTGACTATTAGTCAGCAAGGATTACATTTTATCCTTCAAAGAAGCGCGTATGGCGCAAAGGCGCGTGTAGCGCAGTGGTTGGAGGCGCACTGCTATACACATGCGATTGCTCCCTGCGCTCCAAACTCACCAAGCCTTCCATTCCTTCTGCGTCGGCAAATCAGTACCAGAATTGTCCGGAAGGATAGCAGCATTGGCTTGATACTTCGGTAGGGCACCGCGAATCATTGTAAAGACCGGATATGCATTGAATCATCACCGAACGTTGCTTAATGAAGTCGAACATATCGCGCCTCTCTCATGGGTCGATCAACGCCGAAGGCTTTATCCTTTATTCTTTATCGTTCAAGGTAGGTAACTTCTGTTCTGCATGCTAAGAGCGTCTGTGCTCAACCTCCAAGTATTAAAATCTTTCATTTCAGACATTGTTTAGTGTTTATTTTCAGTCGCGAAGTTACTTCCGAGTTTGTGAACTTTATTTTGTTATAGAATTACTTTGTTTCAGTCCATTATTCGATTCTACAGGAATTCCATGACGTTTTCAAGTAGCGAGCTCAACTACCTCATCTTGAGGTATCTACAAGAATCAGGTGTCTAGAAAGTACAGTCTACTTTGGTTGTTGTTGTACCTCGTTTGCAGTAATTTTGATTGTACCTACTAGTTTGTTCTTCTGCTTTTGTGAGCATGTGTGGTTTTCAGTGCTTTGTCCAGAATGGACAGGGTTTCTTTTTCTGGTTTGTTTATTTGGCACTTTTTGGTTTTTATTTTTATGGAAAGGAACCAGTTTTCGTCCTGGAGAAAAATGGCGCTGTTTAGGACAATAGGTGCCACTTGTAATTCATACACCGTGAATGAAAGAATTAGAGATAAAATTGTTCTGGTCATGTGGAGCGGAAACCGTACCCGTTTCTAACTTTCTAAGTAGAGCTGTTTTGCTTGATAACTCATTTCTTTCACATAATCTATGGGAAGGATCAGCAAAGGGATAACTCTGTGACTGTTGCGGTTTACTCGAATTTCACTTCGCTTAGTTATACAACAAGCCATCATTTCAGAGGCGGTTACAGTTCCCCGTTTTCAAAAATTTCAGTAAGATTTGCATCTTAGATCTAAGTTGGATGGTATGGAAGACATCTAACAATTATCCATTGTGCTCCCCTGCTTAAATGCTTTCCTAAGGAGCGAAGACGGTCCGTAATTTTCATATGATTGAATTTGATTTGATTTGAATTTGAGTATGATTGAATTGTAA